GCCCCTACTTCTGTTAACATTCCTCTGGTCTCATGCTGCATGAGTTTGGGACTCTCTGCCTGAATGTTTTCATGAAACCCGGACCTGGGCAGTAGATGCACCTGCAAATTAATGCCCCAGGGACCACAGCTCAAGAATGATGAGAGTGTGAGGATAAAAGCCCCTGTTCTAGACACTCCAGTACTTGCACTGAGGCAACTACAACACTGCCACCTGGTGTCGGCCAGTGGTGTCACAATCCCTCAGTGCACAGGAAACTTGCTAAGAATTAATTCCAGAACTGTGGGTTCCTCAACTGTCCTAGCCTCGCTGTCCCACTCCTGACCTGGTGCTTCCCTACACCAGCCACTTGTTGCAGATCCACATCTCAGCATCCGCTTTTGCAGGAACCCTCGGCCCAGGTATTATTCCACTTAGGAGTTACCCTGGAGACATGCTTGGCTTGCTCCACCTCCCAGTTCCTGTAAACACTGACAGGATGCAGGATTGTCTGTGCATTCCTTGGGGAGTCACATGAGCAGTTTGCAGGCATGCACACCAGGAATGGTTCGCTGAGGGGCAGGGCAGATGCGTCCTGAGCTCCCTGGGCACCACCAGGTTTCTCTCATCTGTAATGTACAAGAACGCCCATCTTTCTTCTTTCCGAGTTGACACGTGGGAGCAGAACCTGCACAGGTCTGTGAGCCTCGTGCACGCGGAGTGACGGGTCAGCGTTGCTGTTAACTCCCGCTTCTCCGATTGCTAGTGGATGTGAGCATCTCTTCACAGCTCTATTAGACGGCGGATCTCTCCAGAAAAACTGTGTCTGTAGTGGGAGAGGGAGAGGGCAGGCTGGAAAGACCTCCAGAACGTGGGGTCGGGATCTGGACAGCTTCTGAAGAGCATGGGCAGGGAAACTTTAATTGACGGTGGGTTATTTTTCTCTTGATTCTGGGAAATTCTGCACAGGGAATTAAAGTGTTACAACACAGATTAGCAAATTCAATACTCTGAGATTGCTTCTATTGTAATTGCCACCGTGGGGTAGCCCAGGACCGTCTGAGGCCCTGGCACCAGCAGTAAAGAGTTAGTGGCTTTGACAATGAGTCTGGGGCCACGCTGGTCCCAGGCGGAGACTCAGAGATGCAGCAGGGATCCGGCAGCTGTTCGGGCATTCCCTCGCTCATCCAGACCCACAGAGCAGTCGTGCACTTGTGACGGGCTGGGTTTTGGGTGCTCCAGGAGCTGAATCAGGGGCCGTGAGCAACACGCACGAACGGCGCCACCTAGTGTGCAGGAGTGGCAATGCCTACTTTAGGCTCAAAGGAGTGTGTACATCAGGCTGGGGAGACAAATATACACCTAATCCTTCGACGTATGTCCGACATTTTTGGCATACTTATTGAAATTACTTTCCTTTTCCCAGTGCATGTTTTTTTTTTTTACAACTTTATCAATAATCAGTAGAATGTCTGTACACGTGTCAATTTCTGGGTTCTTGATTCTGCTGCATTGATTTCTGTGTTGGTTTTATGCCAGTATAACTTTATTGTAATGACTATAGCACTGTAGTGTACTTTAAAATCAATCATGGATTATGATGCCTTCAACTTTACTACATTTTATTCTTTTGCTTTCTTTTTAAAATTTAGTTTTAGTTATTTATTTTTTTAAAGTCAGATATACAGAGAGGAGAAGAGACAAGAAAGAGCTTCCATCCAGTGATTCACTTCCCAAGTGACGCCACAGGCAGTGCTGAGCCGATCCGAAGCCAGGAGCCAGGAGCTTTTTCCGGGTTTCCCACGCGGGTGCAGGGTCCCAAAGCTTATGGCCGTCCCGTCCTCGACTGCTTTCCCAGGCCACAGGCAGGGAGCTGGATGGGAAGTGGAGCTGCCGGGATTAGAACTGGCGCCCACATGGGATCCTGGCAAGTTCAAGGCGAGGACTTTGGCCACAAGGCCACCGCGCCGGGCCCATATTTTACTACATTTTCACTCTCAAGATTGTTTTGTCAATTCCGGTTCACTGATGGTCCATACAATTTTTAGAGCTTTATTCTAATTATATAAAGAATTGGTTGGAATTTTAAATGGCTTGCTTTTTATTTCAGAGTGTCTTAAGTAGCACAGACATCTTGCCAACCTGAAGACCTTTCATGTCTTTGGTTAAACTGATTTCAAAATATAGTATTCTCAGAGCTGCTGTGAATAAATTTCTTTTCAGACTTTCGCTTCAGAAAACAATCCTTGCTGATGTGTAAAGCTACTGCCATTTTAACGTGTGGACACTGTGTGTTTCAACTATACTGACCTGGCACATTAATTCCAGAAACATTTCATTAGCCCGTGTTCTCTTCTCCACGGGCCAATCAGACCCCTTCCAACACGGGCATTCCTGCCCTGCTGCCTCTGCTCTCTTGTTGTTGGCTTCCCTAAGCCACTGCTAACGTGTCCAGTGCTGTGTTGCATGTAAGTGGCAAAACTGAATATCCTAGCCCTGTCCCAGCCCTCAGTGCCACCTCTCTGAATTGCAGGCCCCAGGACAGCAGGAAGCTGTGAAGGCCAAAGGCAGGAGAGCTGGCAGAGAGTGCCCAGAACTTGTTCAGTGGGAAGCTGTGACTCAGAGATCCCCTTGGGCAGCTGGAAGCCTCCTGACCACACTCCCAGAGCTGATAGGACCAAGTTACTGAATTCAGAGGCGGAGCAATCTAGAATGTGAATAAAGGCACTCCTCCTGTGGAATCTGAAAGTGAAAGGCCTGCCTTCAGCACTCAGGCTGCTTCCTGGTCTCTGGCCCTGGGTAAGTGGAGCTCTCTGGAACTTGCAGCATACTTTGACATGTGGGCTTAATTCGCCTTCTCTTGGGAGGCCAGACAGCAGACGGCACCATCGATGGGAATTTCAGGTGTGTAGTGTGTCAGAAGTGCAGGTGGCCTGGGCTTGGAGCATACTGCCATGGCTGCTTACAGCATGATGGGGAGTGTGAAAGATGCCTCCTTCAGCCACAGCACGTTCGAGCTGTGAGCACTTGGGCACGCATTTCTGCACCAGCCAAATGGAGCTAATAGCAGTGCCTACTGGAAAGATTTGCTGCCAGGATTAGAAGACAGCCAGTGTGCTGGAAGGAACTTGCTTCCTGGCTTCCCCTCCTGGGTGGTTGTAATAGCATTTGCACCTCTGCTCAGCCCTCCAGGATACAGCCCAAAGGACCCAGTCCTGCAGGCAGCAGGCTCAGAACACTTCCTGCTCCTCTTGCATTTGCTGATCAGCAATCCCACACTGATCCCAAAGGTCTGTGGCTATTGAATTGTGTGGTTTAAGATTGTGTCTAGAAGATTTCCCCAGGCAAGCTTTATGTCAGAGCGAGGCCTAGTGGGAGCAGTAATTGATGGAATACTAGTTTTTCAGTATAAATGAGACTGAATGCCTCGCCCCTGGACAGACTTGCAGAATGCCATAGGAGAAGGGACCCTGCGTAGGCAAGCAGTCCTGGGAAGCAGGGACCTTCTGGGCTGGCTCTCCCATGTGTTTCTGTGCTGTGGCTCTGTGCCCAACACGTCTGAACACTTGTTGGTCTTTTTCAGTTTGGTGCCTAAATGGCTGACTCTGCTCTCCGTCTCAGAAGGAGCTCTCTCCTGCATGCTGCCCACCAGGCCCACGCTGTTGGACCTTTACTGTCTTCAGCTGTGGCACCTGCTTCCCTTGAGATGGGCTCTCCTGGCTTCTTGCATGTCATGTCCACTGTCTGCCTGGCCACTGCTGGCATTTCATCCCTCTTCATGTGTAGAAACATTTTTTTTTAGGAATTGATATTAGCTCATTTGTGAAAGAGTAGCTGACTTGAGCGTTGTGGATTAAGTTCTGTGGTTTCTATCCTGCTCATTCGGTCCTCATGTGTATTTTCACTGGCAATGCCCTGCAGCATGTCGTGCAGTCTGCTACTGTGCTAACTGCGGCTTCTGCTTTCGCTGTTTCATTTTGGTTTTGTTATTCTGGGTTTCATATATTTCCACATGAATTTTAGCATCTTTTTCTACCTCAGAGATAAGAGTCTTGATATCTTGCTCAGGATGACCCTGACTCTGTGACTCGCTTTGGGTTGTACAGTCATTTTGATGATACACATTCTTCCAATCCAGAAATCTGGAAGATTGTCCTTTTCTTTGTGTCTTCCGTTTCTTTCATTGTAGAGGCATTTTGCATGCTTGGTTAAATCTGTTTCAATAGGTTATCCCTATCCCAAGATTTTTAGCTTCTTTTTTGTAGCTTCTGAACTTATAATTTCAGCCCTGCCATGTATAGAGGCAATTTTGAGTTGTGTGTGTTTTTATACCCTGCACTTTACTAAACGTTCTAGTGAGTTCCAATAGTCTCTTACTGGACTATACACAGGTGTGTGTGTGTGTGTGTGTGTGTGCATGTCTGTGTGTATGTGTATACACAGATGCATATTTAAATTCTATTTTTGGCTTTTATATGATTCTGAATCTTCTGTGTTCAGTGTTGGGCTTCAACTCTGCAATATTTTCAGTGGAGTTGAAGGCAGATCAATATGACGAGATAACTAGCAGGCAGATCCTTTCTGGTGACACCCTATTGGAAGGGCACAACCTTGTTTTTCTACCCATATATATTCAATTATGTTTATCCCCTAAAGGAAGAGCAGGTGCCACCACCACAAACTGGTCCTGAGCGTTTGGCAGGTGTGGCACTGATCTGGGACGTGCAGCGTAACTCAACCCTCCTGGCTCACTCCATGGACAAAAGGTCCTCTGCCTCGTTGCCTTTGAGTTCCATCCTGGCGTCTCCCAGGACCTCCATCCTTAGTGTCCGTCCGTCACTGCTGCTCCAGGCTCCTGTCACTCTCTTCACCACCTCTGTCACCTCTGCCATTCAGGTGTCATTTTCCCCAGGCCTGTGAGTCTTCGCGATTCTCCACAGTTTATTTTGTGAAAATCACGCTTCTTGCTTTTGAGAAAAGTCATGCTGTATTTTTATGTTTCCTGACGTTTCGTTCTAGAGCTTGAACTGGGCAGAAAGTACCCTAAGTCACCTAAATTAAAACTAAAGACCAATCCTCTTTCATCTTGCTAAGCAAGGGACTGTGTGCTTTTCTGAGAGTCCCAGGTAAACACCCTAAGTGCTGCATCACTCACAGAGGTGCTGCACACACGCCACAAGGGTAACAGGTGTTCAGGCAGCCATGGTCCTGGCAACAATTTTCCAAGTGGATTTCACATTTCACCTTAAATCACGGCTTCAGTAAAGCAAAATTTCTTATGTTTAGCCAAAGAATACACAAATGTTATTAGGTTGTAACATGATGCCAGTATCCAGACCCTTAACAAAGGTTGCCTTGTTTTGAAAGCACTTTCAGGAGCCAAATCCAAACTCAACATTTTATCTGAAATAAAAACTTGAAAGTGGGGAAGAGTGGCGGAGGCGATGGAGAGCAGCAGGGGGAGGCAGCGAGAGAAGCACTTCAATACAAAACACAGCATTTGCAGAGAAATAGGAAGTAAGCTCCCAGCTAGAGTCACGGGCTAAACAAGAACCACACCACCAGACCTGTAGGAACAACTTTATTATTCTTGGCTCAGCCTTCCACTTCATTTTTCTAATGCTTGCTGCAAATCCTGTTTTATGGATCCTAGAGGGTGTGGAAGAAGCGGTGTGAGTGCCAGTTGTGCTCTCTGCGCCTGCGTGATAGGGTTTTGGAGTCTGTCTAAGTATAAGAAGGGCAATAGTGCACAGTAAGGCGAGGAAGCAATTGTGCAGATTCAGGGGAAATATTGGCGATATCAAGGACAGAGACTGAGGAAAGACTAGCGAAATGGAGAGAATACTGGATTAACGACAAGAAGCAGAAGGATATGAAATAAATGAGATGCAGAGTGAAAACAGACACCCAGCGTATTCCTACTGAAGGCAGCGCGGGGGCCTCTGTTCTCTCCCATCTCGGCCAGCGCCGGGTTAGAGGAACGACCGTGACGTCTGCGTGCCACACCACACCTAATGTCTCAGTACATCAAGACTTGGAGAGCAGGTTCCGCAGACCTTCCCTAACACAATAAACCACATGGTGCAACAGGCTATAGCTGCTCACATGACCTGAAGGGCCAAAGGCGGCTTTGCTTGCATCTGGGGCTTCTCCCATCCCTTTCTCTCGTTTTCATCATTAGGAGTGCCTTTCCTTACTTGTCCCCGTCTGTTTTAGCTGACTATCCAATGAGTGGGTGAACCGGCAGAGTCCGCAAGTCAGTTCTCATTGGTCCTGAGTCACGTCCCAGCCACAAATCAAGCACTGGTCCTAGAAAAACTGTGTTTTATGTTGGCCCTACCTGATTCTTGGACCTATCTTCAGAGTTCAACATGTACATCCAAGGGTTCAGATACAGCCAGAGAAATGGAATTGATTATGGAAAGTACTGTGCAAACTTCCATCCCTCTATCAGAGTTCTTATCCCAGAGCGCGTACAAGTCAAAACCCAGGAGTGTTGAGCAGGCCACTGCTTTCTGTCTCACCCCATCTCAGTAAACTTTTTTCTCTCTGCCTCAGTCACCCTGAGTTCTTCGAAGTCCTTGGAACACTCTGGAAGTTCCTAACAGGCTTTGCACATTCATGTCCCTCTGTTTGGAACCCCCTTGCCCAAGCCCCTTCCTCTGTTAACAGCTCCTTGAGGCTGTCTTTGGCCACATTATTCGAACATGGAAGCTCTTCCTGTGTCCTTATGATTCCGTTCTTTGCCTTACTTTCCCCCCAGAGGACTTGCTGCAGCCTGACAGACTATCTCCTCTATTACTGGTCTTGTGTTCGCTATCTGTGTAATTCTAACTCTGCCTAAAATATAAGCTTTATGCAGACAAAGAAACGCTAGGTCAGCAGCTGAGTCCCACTGTGTATTAGGTAAACTAATAATTAAACCAATAGATTAGGCAATCATTAAGTGAGTGAAGAAAAGTTTTTGGAGGGGAACCTTTGGGTAATCTTTAGGTAAAAGGGGACATTGACTCAGTCAGGTAAATGTGAATACTATGTACTAACGGTATAATTCTGCTAAATCTGGAACTATTTGTGAGCCTACGGTAATTAGTACCAGATGGAATTTTCTTTTTTATTCACACCCAGAAAATAACCTAAAATATATTTATCGTTTAACTCATCATTAATCTAGATTTTTCAGTCCATTTTCCAATGTAATACTTTATCGATAAATTTACATTTAACTAAAACAGCAGAGAAGCATATAAATATATAGAGGCGCACAGAGTTCTGCATCTGCTGATCCGTTCCCCAAGTGCCTGTAATAGCCAGGCAGGACCAGGCCTAAGTCAGGCGTCTGGAATTCCAGCCAGGTCTCCCACAGGAGCAGCAGGAACCCAAGAACATGAGCCTGCACCTGCTGCCCTACACAGTGCACACTGCCAGGAAGCTGGATTAAACACAGAGTGGAACACAAACCAGGCACTTTGATGTAGAGAAGAGAGGAAGAGGAAGACAGAAAGGACTCCCCCACACTGAGAAGCACTTGGGGTGCACTGGGCTGAGCCAGGCTAGGGCTGGGGTGGGCCGAGCAGAAGTCAAGAACCGAGGGTTCAATCCAAGTTCCCTTCTGGGTGGCAGGCATCAACGCTGCCTCTCAGGGCTGTGACCTGGAGGCCAAAGCTGAATGCTGAAACCTGACAGGCACTCCAATGTGGGAAACCAATGTCTTAACCTGCCCATTTCCATATTTAGACAGCTTAAAGCTGCCATTAGCCACCCAAGTATGTCCAAGTTCAAAAGCGTTACAACTTGGTCTTCTGTTCGCTTGCCCTAGGGATCATGGATCTTGAAGCATACTATAAGAGGATTGGTTATAAGAACCCTGGGAACAAATTGGACTTGGAATCATTGACGGGCATTCTTCAGCACCAGATCAGGACTGTCCCCTTTGAAAACCTTAGTCTTCACTGTGGGGAGTCCATGGAGCTGGACTTAGAGGTCATTTTTGATAAAATTGTGAGGAAGAATCGAGGTGGATGGTGTCTCCAGGTCAACTATCTTCTGTACTGGGCTTTGGCCACCACCGGATTCAACGTCACAATGTTAGGAGGGTATGTTTATAGCAGGGCCAGCGACAAATACAGCATGGGCATGATTCACCTTCTAGTACAGGTGACCATTAACGGCAAGAAGTACATTGTCGATGCAGGGTTTGGACGCTCCCACCAGATGTGGCAGCCTGTGGAGCTGATTCCTGACCAGGATCAGCCCCAGGTGCCCAGCATATTCCGCTTGAGACAAGAGGGTGAAACCTGGTACCTAGACCAAATCAGAAGACAGCAGTATATTCCAAATGAAGAATTCCTCAATTCTGAACTCCTGGAAAAGGAAAGCTACCGAAAGATCTACAGCTTCACTCTTCAACCTCGAACAATTGAGGAATTCGAGCCTGTGAACACGTATCTCCAGGAATCTCCATCATCTGTGTTCTTGGACAAATCATTCTGCTCCTTGCAGACCCCAGAAGGGGTTCAATGTTTGGTGGGGTCTGTCCTCACTTCCCGGATCTTCAATTACAAGGAAAATACAGATCTGGTAGAGTTTAAAACTCTAACTGAGGAGGAAGTTGAAGAACTGCTGAAAACCATATTTAATATTTCCTTGGGAAAAAAGCTTGTGTGCAAATGTGGTGATAAGTTTTTTACTATCTAAAGTATGGAGCAAAATTGTCTTTAGTATTACAAGTAATTACACCTTTTATTATATGAGAACAAACATATAAAACAACATAGAATAGAATGTAAAATCACTGTACATTTATCAACTTGTCACCAATGATCAACAGATGCCAGATCATATCCTAATTTCATCACGATGAAAATCCTACACATGAAAATCATAATAACCCTAAAATTATGACCATACATATTTGAAAGTTGTTAAAATAAAAATAACAATATCACCCTTGGCAAAATTAATAAAAAAGGCATTTTAAACGAATGTGTCATTATTTTGTGATTTATGCCAGTAAATCTTCAACACTGACGTATCACTGAAGTTGTAGAAAACATTCATTCATAACTGACTATACAGGATACTGAGGAAATGGTTTCCTGAGTTCTGCCTGTGTTCAGTGTTTGGAACACACCACCTGTACAGCTTAGGATGAGGATCCAGCACAGAGTGAAGCATGATACTGGCTCCAGAAGAGCCAGCAGGCCTCAAGACAAGGCAGCATTGTGACTAGGTACTAGGAAAATGGCGCAGCTAGAACTTCCTTCCACGGCTCTTCTTGCATCATTTTATTAGATATAAAGACTATCTGTTCAAAATTTTCAACTTGCAGAATTGATCGGTCTTAAAGGAACAATTATCATGTATATTAATATATGTATAAATCACTGAAAATCATTGATTGCTGAAAAAGGATAAAACAACAGTATTGGCCAATACAATACAAGGCAAAGGTTTCATCAGGAAGAATGAGGATAGCTGACTTCCCTGCAATAGCCTTCCTCTAACCCTCCTTCTTGCCCTTTAGTTATAGTCTTTGGTTGCTTCTGGGGTTTACTATAAGAGAGGACGTGAGGTTCTTGGTGTCCATCTGAGTTTAAATCCTATGGTTACTGGGAGAACTGCTTGGTCAATGTGTGACTCTGGCTCCTCATGGCAAAAGGGTAGTACTGCTATGGGATGTTGGCTTATAGGCAACAGCTTAACCACCACATCGTTACGGCAGCTCCCTCAATTCAGTCTGCTAATAAAACTGGATTTGCCCCTGCAGATGGTCCCACTATGCAAAGAGCCCGACAACGAGTTCTCTCATTATCCTCCAGTCTACTTTTCTTTGTTCTGCTCAGAGAATGGTAGAAATCCAATGGAGAAATACAGAGTTGTAGACCTAACTGGCCCCAAGAACCCCATTCTGCAAATTAAGCAGGATCCCTTGGAGTAGGCACTGAGCCCAGCTCTTAAGACACATGTGTGTCACACATTAGAGTCCTGGGTTGGATACCAGCTCTGGCTCCTGACTCCAGCCTCCTAGTGATATTAAAGGCGGTGCTGATGGCTCAGGAATTGAGTCCCTGTCACACAGGTAGAAGACCTGGAGTTCCAGGCTCCTGGCTTCAGCCTGGCGAAGCCCTCAACTGTGCCTGGTATTTGGGGAGTGAACCAGCTCCTAGAACTGCACTCTCTCCCTCTCTCAAACAAATACATGAATTCTTTCAGGAGTCCACAGTGTTCAGGGATCTGTTAGGGACACACTCACATTGCCTTTCTCCCTGCTCTTTACCCTCGATGGCCCAGAGTGAAATAAGGAATTATGTCTCTCATTGAAGGGAGGTTGAATCAGCTGTGAACTAGTGCCCTCTGGTCATGGTGCCAGGCAAGGTGTGGCCGCCAGTCCTGGAGCTGCTGCACTCTAGGGATCCTTGTTAAGGGCAGAAGAGAGATGGGCAAAGCAGCTCAGAAAGCTGTGCGGGCAGCCTCCAGCTGCACCTGTGTGATCATCAATGCCAACTTCCTCTTCCAGAAGACTGCTGCCTAGGAAGAGCCTCAACAGGATCTCGAGCTGGGGTCTGCAGACTGGGGGTTGCAGCACAGACACTGGGATTGGAGGAGCAGGGCAGAAGGCAGCCCCTGGACTGTGCTGCTGCAGTTTGGCCACAGCCTGGGAAGGGAAAGACAAGCAGGCTGGCTGTCAGCAGGGGCAGGCTGCAGAGCTGCTCATCTCAAGGGAGCAGAAGGTCTCCAGGCAAACCTCACCCCATCAGTGATGCTCACTACAAGCTTTGATTCAACACCCAATGGCCACACGGCACACTCTCATGCTGGGTGTTGTGAAATTGAGACTTTAAGACGTGGTACTGACTTCTTCAGGGAGGAAACTAATATGCAAACAACACAACAAAGTGTGACTTCAAAAACGCATTGCATTCAGTGCTTGCCCCAGCAGGCTCTATTCCATCTCGTGGCAAGTGAGAAAAGTGATGAGGTTTGCATGACACTTCAGAGAATGTTTCAAGGGAGACGATGTGTGAGCTCATGGGATTCCTACAGACTGAAATGTCTGGAAACATCAGCAATCCTGGCCCTAACATACTTGGCTTCCTTCTTTAAAAATGCATGTATTCTTTTGAAAAGGAGAGAGGGAGATGGAACAGAGGAAGCGAGTAATAAGCAGGCAGCTGTGTAAATGGAGCCCTATAGGATGCTGATTCTTCAGGCAGAGTTTTAGCTTGCTGCACTACGAAGCTGCCCATTCTCAAACACTGCATGTTGCTTTAAGGAATCTCAACAGCAGGATATCAAAGATTGCTCTTTATATTTTGGAGGCTTGGTGACCCAGACCCAGGCTCCGATGACGTGAAACCCCAGAGAGCCTGTCCCTGGGGCCTCCAACATTCACAATGCTGCTTCAGTAAAAAGTGACGTGAGTTCCATCCTGAGTTCCCAGAGCCCAGTGGAGCAAAAACATTTAATAGATCTGAATTATTAATTTAAGATCTGGTATGGGATCCAGCCCTGGCAGATCCCAGGACGCCTATGCCACCTTTGCGGGAAGGCCCCAGGTGCCTGGCCCTGTCCTATCTATGACAGCCTTGGTGCGACCCAGTGTTATGTAAGAAGTTGTGATTCTTTGCCAGCCATCTACATTAGCTCTAACAACCCACTCTTCAGACACACCACAGGCAGTCCATGAGCTCGTCCACCATCTGGCCTGCTGTGTGTTAATAACGCCTCCATGGCAAGCAGGCGATTCCAGGACCAGGGAATTCCCAGCAGCAGCCATATAGGAGCACTGTGCAAGGCAGCAGCAGCGGAAGGAGGCAGGGACCTGGACACTGTGGGCTTTTGGCGTCCTGGGCTGAACGGGGCAGGCTTTGCAGATCCACAGTGAACTGCCCTCCCTCCCACACTGGAAGCACCGACAGGGGTCCTGGCCATGGCGAGCGGCCCAAACCCTCGTCTCGTTGAGACGAGAAAAGGGGAGGATTCAGAAGTCTGCTGTCTTTACACAAGGTCATTCGTGGAGCAGAAGAGGAAGCTCAGGCCTCTGGTCAGTGTAGGAGTGAGTGACCTTGAGAAACACTGCTTGCAAAGGGTGTGGTCCGATGGCTCATTCAACCCTTGCCTCCCTATGTGTGACAATCCTGCCGGGGTCACCTACTCCAGCCTTACAGGGGCACTCACTAGGACATGTGAACTAATGCCAGGCTGGCCTGGTCGCTTGGGTATAACATGTCCTGACCCATGCAGGGCTGCGCTCCAAGGCCAAGGACGCATTCAGAGAAGGTGATGGGGACTTAAGTCACCTCACAAGTGGGAACAGGCAGTGCGTACTTGGAAGACTCACCCTCAAGGGGCCAGGCCCTGGGAGCTGGGGGAGTGGTGGTGGGGTGACTGTTGAGCACGAGGGTCCCTCATCCTGCTCAGGATACCCAGGCCTGAGGATGGGGCCCAGCTCTGCCGGCTGGCTCAGAAGCCCACACTGGTCAGAAAAGGTGGCTTTGTGCGCCCTCTTGTGGCTTCCTGGGCTCTGCATAAGGTGGAAACTCAGGGTTGTTCTGTTACTCACAGCCATGGTATGGGAAATTCCCCCTGTCCTTTTCCAAAATGCTAAAGGAAAAATTATTCACAGCCACAAGAAATGTCACAAATGCATCCACGTACTGCAGCCATGCCTCTTCTGGTTGCGTGTGCAGTGAACGCCCGGATACAGGCAGAGCTATTAACTGCAACAGGCTGCTGGTGGCCCCAGGGCTTCTGGGAACTGTAGTCCAGAACTCTCCCTGCACAACTCCTGCCTCAAGGAGCCCTGGGAGTTGAAGTTCTTCCAGGTACCCCCGGGGGATGCTGGGTAGTGTTGTCTGGCAACCTGTGGCTTCTGGGTGCTGGTGTTTGGTGCCCTGCACACAGAGTGCTCACGCTGCTGACCCTCCAGCCACACTGGGCCCAACCTGAGGTAAGAAGGCACACACTTGCCTGGGCCCTCACCTAAGGGGACCTAGCTGGCAGCCTATGGCCTGGGAAAGGAGCGGAGCATGGCTGCAGAAGCCCAGACCCTGGCATCTGCTCCCATCTTCCACTCGCCAGGTCTGAGTCAGGTGGAAGGCTTCCGGGGGCGGCAGGGACATTCCCAGCTGCCATCTGTGAAACTGCCCCAGTCACTACAACAGGAGTACTGGAGAGGTGGGCAGAGCTCTGCGGGCCTCAGGCCAGTGCCCAGGTGTCCGAAGGGCCCTCAGAGCACTGCTGTCTGTGGCAGGAAAAGGCGGCAAGCCCGTGGGCACCTGGGGAAGGTCTGGGCCATGCAGCAACTCCTGCGCAGATCGAGGCAAGAAGACAGGTCACATGGGGACTCTGCCGCTGGAAATCTAAAGGCAGATGCTTAACATTTACTGTAAATGGGATCTGCATAAGTTATGAAACATTACCAAACATTTTTCTACACTGCCATTTTATTAGGATGTTATTTTGTATTAAACTTTTATAAAATTTTCAAAATTCTTAGAAATCTTTGAAATTTCATTTTACGTTCTTATAAAGATTTATTTGTTTATATTAGAAAGGTAATTTGCAGGGAAAAGGAGAGACAAAGATCTTCCATTTGCCGTTACACTCCCACAGTGGCCGAAGCCAGGAGCTAGGGGCTGTTTCTGATCTCCCACCTGGATACAGGGTCCCAACGCTTTGGGACATGCTCTCCTGCTGACCCAGGCCAGCAGTTCTAGTCCCTGAGGCCCCGCTTCCCATCCAGCTCCCTGCTTGTGGCCTGCGAAAGCAGCAGAGGATGGCCCAAAGCCTTGGGACCCTGCACCTGCGTGGGAAACCTGGAAGAGGCGCTAGGCTCCTGGCTTCAAATCGGCACAGCTCTGGCCGTTGCAGCTACTTGGGGGAGTGAATCAACGGATGGAAGATCTGCCTCTCTTTCCTCCTTTCTGTATATCTGA